CCTCGTCTCCTGTGCCTCCATGCACGCCTTGTGTTGAGGGTCAGCTGCACCGTGCTCCTCACTCCTCGTTGCCCCCCACCACTGCGCCCCTTCAGACCCTGCACCTAGACATCTGGGGCCAGCCCCAGTCCCTGGGTCACGTCACGAGCGCCACTTTCTAGTTCTTGTAGACGACTACATGCGCTATACCACGGTGTTTCCCCAGGAGCACAAGGCCGACGGGCCTCACCTTCTTATCCCCGTAGCTTGTAGCAGCTTGAGTCCACCGCGCCCAGCTAGTACTTTGTTTCCACTCCAACCGTTGCAGTGAGTTCACCTCCGGTTGGCTTGGCCAGTTCTGTCGTGCGGAGGGCATCACCCAGTCGGACACACTGCGAGACTCCCAACAGCAGAATGAGGTCACTGAGCGACGCATCGGTTTGGTCATGGATGTGGCTTGTACCTCCATGATCCGTGCCATCACACCCCATTTTCAGTGGCCGTTTGCAGTTCCCTACGCCGCTCACCAACTTAACTTTTGGCCCCACTCTTCGTGACAGCAGGTTCCGCCGCCCCTATTCTGGACCGGGTCCCCTGGTGATGCGTCAGCGTTCCACTTCTAGGGCTACCTGGCTCACGTGCGCACCTCTGGCGCGGACAAGCTCACAACCCACAACGTCCCTTGTGTCTTCCTTGGTTTCCCTTCTCACCATTTCTTTCACTCACGTGACGTCATCTTTGACGAGTCTGTCTCCTTCTAGACCTGCTTCCCCCACCAAGGTCTTCCGGCTACCCCGCCCCGGTTCCTTGTCCCAGCTCCCTCGGTAGCTCTCACTACTCGTCCTGCCCCGTCTGGTGTGTCTCATATCGCTCCCCTTCCTTTGGTTAGCAGAGGAGTCTGCTGACTCAAGGGGCTTTGAAGCTCAGTATCCGCTGCCTGTGTCTACGACACCTCCACCCTTGGCCCCGGTGTCTCATCCGCCACCGCTGCAGCAGCAGGGATCAGTGGCTGCTAGGGGTGTTGCCACTAGGGGTGCTGCCTCTGAGGAGGGTGCTAGCTGTGGGGGTGCTAGTCCTAGGGGTGCTGTCATGGTGAGTCCTAACAGTAGCAGTGGTGCGGCTAGAGGTTCTGGTGTGGGTGTGGAGCAGCAGCAGTAGCAGTAGTCGTTGCCAGTATCCACCCTTCGCCTCCTCAGTCTTCCCTCCCCTGATCGACCACCTGTGCCTCCCCTTGTGCCGCCCCTCCTCCTCTCTACGACCATGTGTTCCCTTCACTGAACTCGTCTCCAGCTCGTTTCCCACGTCCTTGTCCTCCTGTGTCACCTCTGTTGTCTCCTGACCCGACGCCTCCCTCTCATTTCTGGTCTCACCGTCCCTCTCGTGCTTGCCTCGTCTCTCCTGTTCAGTGCTCTTACCATATGTTCCTCCGTTCTCACACTTTGTTCCTCTGTGTTCTCCCATCGCCTCCCAAGTCATCCCTCTCGTCTCCTTGCCTCCTCTCTTTGACTTCCTCCGTACTGCTCGCCCACTGGTTCCTCGGGTCCTCGCCTCTCTTGTCACCATCCCGTCCATTCCTGTCTCCAGTCTCTTTGTCGCTGTTGTCGCTGACTTTGCCTCTACCTACCGCCTTGACTACGCCAGTGCTCTTAGCTCTAACCCTGCCCATCCTCCATCCGTCGGGGGTGCACTTGCCCTTGGCAATGACTTCCTAGAGGACAGGCATTACGAGCTAGCTTTCCTTTCCGAGACCCCTCCTCATCTCTGCTCCATAATGCTACCCCCCGAGGGTGACCCTGATGCTCTTGCCATCCCGACCCCTCGCACCTACGCTGTGGCGACTTCAGGATCCAGGGCCTCTCAGTGGATAGCTATCATGGATGTAGAGATGGCATGTTGCAGATCCATCGGCACGTACATTGACGCAGTTCCCCTACCTGGGGCGAACAAGGTGAAGCGCCCTGTTGGAAAGCCACCATTGTTCAAAGCATGCTACATTGCTAGAGACTTTAATCGGCGCGAGAGAGTTGAATTCTTTCAGACCTTCGGCCCGACCCCGAAGATGACCACTCTTCGGGCGCTACTTCACATAGCAGCACAGTGCAACTACGAGCTTCACTCGCTGGACTTCTCCTCCGCATTCTTCCAGGGCAATCTGCACGAGCAAATCTACCTGCGCTATCCGCCAGGCTTCTTTGGCACTTTTCCTCTTGGACAGAGTGGCTCCTCCCATGCCCGGTTTACAGTCTGCGCCAGGCGCCCCGAGAGTGGCACGATACGATACGTGCTACTCTAGCACACCTATAGTTCTTTTCGTCCTCTGCTGACCCGTCTCTCTTCTTTCGCTCAGGCCAGACTCCGTTCTACATCCTAGACTATGTAGATGACCTCGTCTTTGCTGCTACAGACAATGATACGCTGGCCTCGGTGAATGCCAAGCTGCTGAGGAGATACACCTGCACTGACCTAGGAGAGTTGCATCGCTACCTTGGGCTGCAGATCTCCCAGGATAGAGTAGCACGCTCCATCACTTTCACACAGTCACACTTGGTGCACCAAGTCCTTCAGAGGTTTCGCCTTCAGTTCTCCTCCGCACAGCCCACCCCTCTGCTTGTGGATCACAGGCTCTCGGCTCCTGTCCCTGATGAGCCAGTCAAGCCTGGTGGTCAGTATGCAGAGTTTGTGGGCTGCCTTATATACCTGATGACTTGCACTCATCCAGATCTCGCATACCTTCTCGGTATCCTCGCTCACTTTGTTGCGACAGGCAAACACCAACCCCATCACTGGTCAGCTGCTAAGATGGTGTTGCGATATCTTGCAAGTGCATCAGACATGGGCCTAGTGCTTGGAGGACGCATGCCAGTGATTCCTACTGGGCTCACAGACGCTTCGTGGGCGGAAGATGCTGTGACGCTCAGGTCCTCCTAGGGCTACTATTTTAGCCTTGGTGCAGGCACTATCTCGTGGAGGTCCACCTGCTCGTCATCGATTGCACAGTACTGCTATGAGGCTGAAATCTACGCTGGTGCTATGTCGGCACAAGAGCTCCGCTGGTTGTGTTTACAATGTAATGTGTTTATAATTAGTGCATCCTAAAAAAAAGGGCGCGCCTATAATAAAATTAACGGATATAAGTGTGTGTGCAGTGCATAAGCCCACGGGCTTAATGAATGGCTGCACTTATATTTGGGTGTGTATGGTAGTACCCCCTAAGGTGTTTTTTAAATACTCTTGAGGCCAGACTAGTAGTGTTGCCCTCGACTAGTGTTTCTTTTTAGGCTCTGCCCCTACACAGGCTAGGGGGTGTATTGGCGATCATATATATATATATATATATGTATGTATATATATGTATGTATGTATGTGTGTTAGGAATATATGCACTATAGCAATGCTAGAGTTTATATCATATAGGGTACAACACTTGGATATCCTCTTGCCTTGACTAGTCACTTTTTCTCTCAATACCGTAATCCCCTGGATATAGGCGCATATGTGCTTATAGGGAAACCCCTTGAAATTTTAGATGTGCTTTTAATCGAATAAAAACTATAAGCCCATGGGCTTATGAAATGTACATTTATGGAAAGAACTTTTTAGGGCACAAAAACGTAGCTCATTGAATTTGTGATCGGGGGAATCATTCTCCAAAGGGGGTCTTGTGGATGGATTGGGTGGAAACGGCTCGCGAATATTCCGCAAGCAGATCACTATAGAATCGATCAATCAGAGCCTGAGCTAGTGAACGGGAAAAACAATCGCCGCTAGCGAGGTCCTCGGGAGGGCTGCGGGAGGGGCGCGGGAGAGCTAACGGGGGTCTCCAATATAAAAAAACTCGTGTTTTTGGCATTTTTTACAATGACGGAAAGCATTGCCTGGTATTTGCGTTTAAAATGTTCTTGCAAGGTTTTGGTGGATTTTTTTGTATAGTTGTACTTCATATTTGAACCTCCAAGTGCTGCTAGCTCCGCCGCCGCCGAAGCTGTTGTCGAAGCCGCCGCCGCCGCCGCCGCAGCTGGTGACGCTGGTCACGCCGCCGCACGCCGCCGCCCCCGCCACTGTCGACGCTGCTGCCGTCACCGCCGTTGCAGCCGCTGCCCTCGCTGTCGACGCCGCCGCCTCACACGCCAGGGGGGTTGACCATGCTAGAATAGCCGTCGCTGCTGCTGAGTATGGGGGTGATAGGCTTAGGGGGTGTGTGGCTTAGTGTGCTGTGTGTGTGGTGGGCTTTCAGCTACCAAGCCTAGGGGGTGTGTTCAGTTGTATATTTGATATATATAATGGTAGGGTTGGTAGGTGTTACAAGATCCTACTGTAGAGGGTACAACCCCCCTTCATGTATTCCTCTCTTCTTTTCAAAGCCCTCTTTTCTCTCGACATTTTCTCCTTCCTAAACCTCGCACCATTCCATGGCTTCTCTTCCTAGCTAGCTACTTTGGCAAGGGGGTGTGTCAACAAACATATATTGTTATAAATATACATGTCTACTTAGAGTAGATATGTTTGTTATACCTCAATCTCCATGCATGATCACCCTAGGTCTTTTGGAAAATTCACTTGAAATCGTTTGGGTGGACATATTAAAGGGAGGTAATTATTAAGGGTTAACGTAAGAACGAATAATGGACTAGTAAGAGAAACACAGAACAAATACCAGTTGGTTGTACTCATTAGAAGCACACACCTAGTCTAGTCTATAAATTCTACATATATGATATATATAAGTTGAAACACCCCCTAGGCTAGATAAGGGGTGGTGCTAAGCAAAAAGCATGCAGCTCAGGGTGGCACTACTAGTCCAACCACTGAGGCAGGGTTCAAAGACCAGTCAGCAAGAGTACAAACAAGACAAAAGCAAGCCAGGGCGACACTACTAGTCCAGCCACTGAAGGTAAGGCCACAAGGCCAGTCAGACAGGTATATATAGTAGAGAGTACACAATCATGGCCCTAGCAAATGAGAAGCTACACGAACAAGACCAAGCTGTACACAGTGCCGCTGATGATCTTTATCCGGAACAAAAAACGAGTACAAATACACTCTTGAGGAAAATCAGGGGTCCTCGAATGATTTACCCCAAACAGCGGGTCCTCACAATTCCTTTACGATATTAAGACCCGTGGTCCAGAAAAAAGACCCAGGGTCCCTTTTTCGGGGGGTAATCATGCTGGGAGATTACGGTATATAGCCTAGCTAGGTCCGCTCTTAGAAGGGATAACGCTCTACTTGTATCTCCCTTCCCCTCTTTCTATTCAACTTTTCGCACTCTATTTTCACATCCCTTGCATCCCATATCATGCATACCCTGCATGGAAAGGAGCATCAACTGTGTGAGAGGAGCAGCATGGCAAAACACATCCCATTGATACTGATGATACTGCTGCTGCTGCTGCTGACTATGCTGCTGCTGCTGCTGCTGCTGCTGCTGCGTCTGCTGCTGCCGTTCCAGTTGTTATTGTTTTGGCCTGTGCTGCTGCTGCTGCTGCTGCTGCTGCTGCTGCTGCTGCTGCTGTTGCCGCCGCCGCCACCGTTGTCCCTGCAGCAGCAAGCTCAAAGGAGCATCTGTGACCCCCAGATCCTGTGCTCTTTGCACTCTCATAGTCTCTGTTCCGCTGTAGGTGTGAGGCGCGTCAGAGCTAGGGCTTTGGTTGACCCTGGGGCCTGAAGCTACAGGATGGCTGATGGAACGAAAGGAGACTCTTGGAGAGAGGCAGTTGGTGGTGGAGGGACACGAAAGGCTGTGCGAGAGGGGGATAGATGGAAGGGCAGGAGCAGTGGTAAGAGGGGATGAAGGCTGTTGGGGTATGGATCGAAGAGGAGAGGTAGAAGGGCAGGGGAGGCTGTGCGAGAGGGACACACAATTAGGAAGGGCAGAAGCAGTGGTGGGAGAGGCAGTGGCAGCAGGTGAAGGCTGTTGGGGGGGGGATGGCAGGGGGGAGGTGGATCGGGAATCCTTGGTGGGGGATAGAAGATTGCTGATGAAAGCGTCTGGGGCTGCTAATAAGGAGGATAGCATGTGTGAATCTGTAGCTTGGAGAGGGGCATCTGGGGACGGCGTGACCTGGCTGAGGATGTGGGGGACTGGGTCAGGTATGGCAAAGTTGAGCATGGCAGGGTCAGGTATGGTAAGGTCAGGTACGGCAGGGCAAGGCATGGCAGGAGGGAAGGCAAGGGGGGAAGGTAAGCTCGTCAGACCTGCCAGACCCTGCATTTGAGTCGACTCAAAGGTAAAGCTCGTCCAACTCTCCTGCCCCTGCAGAACTTGCAAAACCTGCAGCGCTTGCAGTTCCTGCAGCCGCTGCAGCTGCTGTGGTGGCTGTGGTGGCTGAGGCAACTGCCACTGCTGCTGGTGTGGCTGCATCTGCTGCTGCCTGTGCTGCTGTTGCTCCAGGTACTGATGCAAGAGAGGCAGAGAGGGCAGATTCTCGACCCCGGCTCCCACTAACACCTCACTTCTGTCCCTCTCCCAAACACTCACCTCGGCTCCTGGCAGTGCGTTTGCTGCAGCACCCCCCTGCTTTTGAGTTGACTGAAAATCAGAGCTCTCCCAAGCTCCCATCCCCACTCCTGGCTGTGCTGTCCCTGTGGCACCTTCCTCCTGAGGTGACTTCCATGACTGCTCAACAGAACATGCCATGCCTTGCATCGCCATACCACACCCCGGCATGCCTAGCATTGTCATATCACAGCCCAGCATGCTCTGCATTGTCATACCAGACTCTGACATGCCGTCCACTGGCATACCACACCCGGATGTCCCCCCAGCACTGCTCCTGCTCCATGTTACCCCACATGGCTGCTGCATCGGCTGCTGCTGCTGCTGCTGCTGCTGCTGCTGCTGCTGCTGCTGCTGCTGCTGCTGCTGGAGGCACGACCTCGCAAATGGGTCGACCATGCCTTCTACTGCCATATCACACACGGATGACCCACCAGCACTGCTCCATGCCAACCCACACGCCTGCTGCTGCTGCTGGTACTGCTGCTCCCGCGACTCCACATGCGGTGTTACCATTCCTTCCATCGCCATTCCACCACACCCTGTTCCCCCAGCATCACTGCCTGCCACCCCGCACTGCTGCTGCACCGGCTGCTCCTCCCTCTGCGAATCCAGATTCGTCACGAATGTTCCTCCACCCAACTGCTGCCCCCCTTCCCCCACCTGTCTTGACCCACCAATGGCAGCAGCTTGGGCGTGGAAAAGGGCTGGGAGGACAGATGCAGTGGTGGTGGGGGGGGCAGCAAGGAACCCCCCTTCCTCCGCCTGCCTTGTCCCTGGGATAGCAGCGGTCAGAGATGCGGTGCTGGTGCTGTGGGCTGCAAGGAGTGCGTTGGTTGACAGCGAAACACGCTTGAAAGTGTGGGAAGGGCCATGCCCATCACCTCCACCACCACCAACACCAAACCTGTCGGCGCTGCTGCTGTCTGGTGGAATGGCAGCAGTCGGGAGTGCTTCTGCTGGCTCAGATGCTGCTGGTTGCTGCACTGATCCGCCTGTAACAGGAGCCTCGCACTGCCTGGCCGCCCTCTTTAAATCACAAGGCCCCACAGGAGATCTCTCAGGCAAAGTTGAGACCGTATCAGGTTGGGGCGTAGCACCTCTAGCACCTTCAGGGTGGAACATGCCTGTAACGGATGCAGGGAGGCGTCTAAGTGGGATGTGCAGGCGCTGCAAGGTGGGTGGGCGGGAGTTTGGGGGGTTAGGAGCCTCATGGTTATGTTCGTCAACATAGGTTATGATTGGGGTTATGGGAACCATGGGATCAATTTCAGAGGCATAAATATTGAAATTCAAGGAGGGAGCGAAAGTAGAGGCTGAAGCTAGCCTAGCCTCAGTCGCTTCTCCCACTTCCAGCCGTCCGCCAGTGGACGCTTGGGCTGCTGCTGCTGCTGCTGCTGCTGCTGCTGCTGCTGCGGCGGCGCTCAGAACACCCGGTGTGATTCTCCAGTCTACCAGTTTCTTGGCTGGGCATGGTTCTTGGTCCGGGTGGGTAGAGGCCTGATGCGGATCCCCGGAAAAGCAACGGTAATAGGAGCGGATACAGCAGGTATCGACGAGTAGAGGCTTTTGTCCATACTTGCTCCAGTCGTACCCATCGTCCGGCAAGTCAACAGGAAGCCACTGGTAATTCCGCCGCCCGATGTATCCACTTCTGCCTCTCCGCCGCCCGCTTTGTCGCCCATTGCCACCCTCACGCCTGCTGCCGGTCTGCCACCCGATGTTGCTGCTATTGCCGCCGCCAGCACCGTTCTGGGCAACAGAGGTCTCCAGACTTCGCTTACAGGTTCGGGGTCGGAAGACCCGGAGCTTCGGCGGAGCCTGGGAATTGTTAGGGCCAGACAGGGGAGGTTCTACCTTGGTAGCTGTTGTGGCAGCGGTGGTAGCAACAGCGGGAGCAGCAGAAGCATCAGCAGCAGCAACAGCGTCAGCAGCATTAGTAGCAGCAGCGTCAGCAGCAGCCGCATCAGCAGGAGCAGCTGCAGCAGCAGCAGCTTCGGCAGCATCATCATCATGAGCAGCAGCGGCAGCGTCAGGAGCAGCAGCAGAATCAGCAACTTCAGCAGCATCGGCAGCAGCAGCATCAGCAGCAACAGTAATGGCAGCAGGTGCGCTGTGAGTTGATGGTTTGGGAGAGGAGGGAAGGGAGAGGAGGGCGGGTACGGATCGTGGGGATAGCACGCGGCAGTCTAACACCTCTCCAGCAGAAGCCGAGCTGGGGAAGATGATGGGTTTTTGAGGCGCCTCAAAAACCGAGCAGGGGAAAATGGGACGCCTGTAGTCCTCACTGGCAGCAGGTTCCGTCATGCCGAGTCCAGGGGTGGCAGTGGTGGTGGCAGCAGCTGTAGCAGCAGAAGCAGCTGTAGTGGCAGCAGCTGTAGCGGCAGTGACGGGGTTACCCCTTCGGTTCTGGAGCGCGCGAGGTACTTGGCTCTGTGCGCCGTTCTGAGAAGAAGCAAAGTGAGGAGGGAGGGGAGATAGAGAGGGAAGTCAATCTGAGACTCAGAGCTAGTACCAGCAGCAGCAGCAGCAGCAGGGTTACCCCTTGGGGATCTGGAGTGGTTGAGGTACTTGGTTGTGTGTGCCGTTCAGGAAGAAGGAAAGAGGGAAGGCAAAGGGGAAAGCAAAGAGGGAAAGCAAAGAGAAGGCAAAGAGGGAAAGCAAAGAGAAGGCAAAGAGGGAAAGCAAAGAGAAGGCAAAGAGGGAAAGCAAAGAGAAGGCAAAGAGGGAAAGCAAAGACGGAAACGGGAGAGAGAAGCTGGAATGAGGAGCCAGCGGACGGAGCGATCTCCCGGACGTAGGGTTCTTGAAATCACTCCAAAGCCAACTCAACGGCGCGTACTGAGTATTCAGTGGCAAGTTACGTACAGTTTCCCTGCTGATCTCTGGGACTTGTAGTGCCGTGGCGCGTGGTTACGAGACGGGCCTTCCGACACCAAATCTGCCATTGCTGTGGCTGCATCGCCCATACAGGCCGGACCTGCAGCGTGTAATGCCGAAGACGAATTATAAGACCGGGAGAGCTGCATCGGTATTACGGCGTCCGATGGGCCTTCCTCTAATTTATCTTCCACTGCGGGGGGTGCCACATCTCCCCCCACACAGACCGGACCCGCCGCGTGAGATGCCAAAGACGCTGCAGGGCTCGAGCCCGAACCAGCAGGACTGGGTCCCGAACCTGCCGGGCTAGACCTCGAACCTGCCGGGCTAGACCCCGAATCTGCAGGGCTGGGATCCGAACATGCTGCATGGCCCACCGCCGGTGATTGTTCTGCCGCCCGGGAAGCTGCCCCAGAGCTTGGAATGCAGTCCATCATTATTGGATCATCCCCTTGCCCCCTCACAAGGCCCACGCCCACGCCCATGCCCACACCCATGCCACCAGCGGTGGCGGCGGCGGCGGCAGCAGGAGAAGCAGCAGTGGTGGCTGCGTCGGCGATAGTAGCATCGTCGCTAACCTGCTTCGGGAAGCGAAGGCTGGCCTCAGCGTGAAGGCCATCATCCCATGGCTCCGATGACGATGATGGGTTGTCCATGATTGGTATCATCATGCTACCTATCGATGATAGATAGCATTGCTAACTTGATCATGGGGAAACACGTCCACCACGCCGGGCCGGTTAGAAACAGAAGCTGAAGCAACGCCGATCAAAAGCAACGTAGATCAGAGCAATGCCACGACTTCCTTGTTTTCCTAATCCAGTGTTAAAAAAGAGCTATATTGTAGGTATAGTTGTTCGTATAGTAAGGCTACTCCGTAGCAGAGGTACCTATGCCGTACCTGCTGTATACCTACTCTCCGTACTTCTGATCCTGGTATTTTGGGACGAACCGAGGAGCGGCGAATGAGAGATAGAGTGTATTACTAAGTGGGAACCGTGGATGAGCGATCGTGAGGGGAGAATGAGAAAAATCGTGTGCGCAAGTGATAGAACGGACTCCGTCCTTTCATAGTTTCACAGAGACAGTATTCGGTTCCCCTGGCAATGGTGACCAAGACCGTCCTTTTCCGCAAGACCACAGGACTAGGAACGATTACCCTCAGCTGCTGCTCCTACTAATGTTGAAAGTGCTGCAGATGCGGACTCAGCGCCGCATGTCGTCAAAGGAGCAGTGCTGCTGGCTTTGTCGCCAGAGGTGACCTTTGCGAACTTAACGTGTTGCGTGTTACTAACAGCACCTGCGTTACACTTGCGGATGCTGTAGTCGTTCCAGTAACTAACAACTACTGGCACATCCAAACCACAGGCACTAGACGACAGTGCGCGTTGGAACCCTTGCACGACCACTGGTCGGCAACTTGCTGATCCCTTGGTGCTGTACAGTAGAACAGATTCCAAAGCAGCATCCCTTGAAGCAAGGTTGCTCAGTGCGGTGTTCCCCTAAAATACTACCCTCAGTGACTTTGTTGGGGTTGCGAGTCTGTCGAAATGGAAACACAACTCGCAAACCCTCGTGCAGTTTGTGTTCGCCAATATTGTTACACTCGAGAAGGTAGAAGTGGCGAAGGTTGGGGAGAAGGTTTCGGTCGTGCGAGGAGCAACCCGCCCAGTGTTACGTAGCCCGGAATGGTTACCTTTTTCGTACCATTCCGAGGCTGCTTGATGTTCGCAAGTTAGAGCGTGGTACACAGGTTGCACTTTGCCCCTAAACTGCAACCCGATGTACCACAAATGACGAAAATAACTAACCACAATTCAAACCAGACTAACCTAGCTCAAATAATTTTGAAAACGTCACGCGATATTCAACTGGTTTGGTAACCAGGCGCGGATGTGCAACTTCGACTGGTTGCGCAAGCAAGGCACTACGCCTTTGATTTTAGTTTTGCCATTGAAAGTAAGTGCAACTGTACTAACCATGACAGGGTACGTGAAAAAAGTATTCAGCTTCATTTTTCTCCGCGTAGTGTCATGCTCCCCACTCAATGTTCCAGCGAGCCGCGCAGTGTAGATAACATTGGCGAACCGCGGGCTGTAACTCTACAAGCGACACCGCTTGGGATGGTGGGTGGGTCGTCCAGGAGATGGAATGCTTACAATTCTCACGAACGACGCGTCTGGTCACTGTACTACTTACGCGGAATACTTACGCGGATTCCACATGCTTCAAGTGGGTGAACTTGACGGACCGGTAAGTTTGACTTTGGCAACCCGGGCAAAGACACAAACGAGTGGAGGAAAAAAAAAAAACGAATTGAGCTCATGCTGCAAGAATGAATTGAACTCATGTGAAGTTTGAACTGAAACAACGAGACCAGCACCACACCAACAACGCGGAACATTACCGTATAGTGTACCGGTTGGTATGCCAGAAAATGACCAATCCCCCAGACAGTTTCCCCAATCAGGAATGGCTCTCCGTCAGGAGAGAACGTTCCTCAGGGCTCGTCATTTTTAGGCACGCGGACATTGATTCAAACTTCATCATCGAATGTTCACCTCTACACTCCGCGCCGACTCAGTCACCGACGAAGAGTTACTCCAACTTAAAACCCGTGTCCCAAAATGTTCACGTTTTAGAAAAATAACGTGCTACAATAAGATATTTTGTGAGTGACAAAATTGTTGATTTAAGCAAACATGTCGCGAGTGTATTTCGTTTCACGTAGTCAGCGAATCCCAGAGGCACTGTTTGGGCTGGGATGCAAAAGTCCCAAATTGCAATGACCCGAATTTTCAAGTTTCCGCAAGCCACACAACGCAAATCCCCCAGTCAAGATTTTGACCAATCAGGAGCCTTCGCGGTGTGTGTTGTCAACTTACACATATGCTGTATGTAGAAGTTATAGGCTAGCCTAGGTGTGTGCTTCTAGTGAGTACAACCCCAACAGGTACATGTTCTAGGTTTCTCACACTAGTCCAGTCATTCTCTCCTTCTAACATGGTATCATGAGTAGGTTCGGTTCCTCTCGCCCGCCCACGCTTCCGCCCTAGGCCCTAGCCGCCCTCGTGACTCGCCCCTAGCTGGCCCCCTGGCCGTCGCGTCTGCCCCTAGCCGGCCCCCTGGCCGTCGCGCCCACCCCTAGCTGCCCCCCTGGCCGTCGCGTCCGCCCCTAGCCGGCCCCCTGGCTGTCGCGTCCGCCCCTAGCCGGCCCCCTGGCCGTCGCGTCCGCCCATAGCCGGCCCCCTGGCCGTCACATCCGCCCCTAGCTGGCCCCCTGGCCGTCAGGTCCGCCCCTAGCCGGCCCCTTGGACGTCGCGTCCGCCCCTAGCCGCCCCCCTGGCCGTCGCGTCCGCCCCTAGCCGGCCCCCTGGCCATCGCGCCCGCCCCTAGCCAGCCCCCTGGCCGTCGCGCCCGCCCCTAGCCGGCCCTCTTGCCGTTCGTGCCCGCTCCTAACCGGCACCCTGGCCGTCTCGCCCGCTCCTAGCCGGCCCCCTCGCCGTTCGCGCCCGCTCCTAGCCGGCCCCTCCTAGCGCCCGCCCGACCCCCTCTACCGCCCGCCCGGTCCCTCCACAGCACCCGCCCGGCCCCTGCTAGCGCCCGGCCGGCCTCTTGCGCCCGCCCGTCCCACACCGCCCGCCTGGCCCCACCCAGCGCCTACCCGGCTCCGATACCAGCCTGCCCAGCTCCTGCGGCTCCGTGTCTTCTGCTCGGCAAGGTTCCTCGGGTTTCCAGCCTCGTGTCTTCTGCTTGCCAGTGCTGGAGCGTCCTGCAGACGTCCCCCTGGAGCTGTGTTGCTGTGTCCCTGTGCCGCTGTGTCGTGTGGAGCTGTGCCGATGTGTCCTTGTATCGCTGACCCTGCACGATGGCTGACTTCGTACTCCGCCTGGACGCTGAGGGCCATGCGGTTGACTTCGCCGCCTGGCTGTCCGATCCCCGCCGTCACCTCACAGGTCAGTGCCAGGATGGGCACTCCTTAGTTCTCCATACTGATGGCTTTCTCCCCCACCCCCCTGCGCCTGCTCCCCTCCCTGCTGACCCCATCTCTGCTGAGCGTAAGACTTTCTTTGCTACTGCAATTGCCTGTGCCGTCTGGGACTCTCGCGATGCAGTTGCTCAGGTCGCTATCAGTGACGCCCTCCCTGTATCTGAGCGTTCGCGTTTTGCTACAGTTGATACAGCCAAGGCTTATTTAGAAGCTGTTGTTGCTCGCTATTCCACGCCTGCCTCCGCTACTGTAGGCCGCCTGCTCTTCCCTATGCTTTTCCCAGACCTTGCTTCCTTCCCTACTGTTGCTGACCTTAACACTCACATGCGCGCCCTAGAGTCTCGCTACCGCACTGCCAGCACTGCTGCCCAGCTCACTGCGCTCCCTCCCCCCTTCTGCATGACCCTCTACTTTATCGCCATGCGCCTGCCTGACCGCCTTGCTAGTGCACGCGACCACGTCCTTAGCCAGCACCCGGATGATCTCACCCTGCCAGCCTTTGTCACCGCCCTGATCGAGATCGAGACTCGTCAGCGCACTATCGCTCAGTCGAGCGGTGCGCCGGCAGTCTCTATCTTTTATGACTATGCCCCCTCCCAGTGCACGTTTACTGACGTTTCGGCAGCGGTCGCCACTACGACCCCTCTGACCGAGACTGCAGCTGCGGTACACTCGCAGCAGCGCTCGCGCCGCGCCGGTCATGGCCGCTAGGGAGGGCGTGGTGGTGGAGCTGGTTGTAGTAGTGGTGGTACCGGGGACAGTGGTTCTACTGAGGGGACTGCCTCAGCTAGTCAAGAGCAGCAGCCGTTGCCCCAGCAGCAGGAGCAGCCGCAGCAGCAGTCGCCATCGTCGCAACAGCTGTCCCAGCCCTAGCTGTGGGCTCGCCTCACCCCGGGTTGGCCCGGCACCTCCGTAGGTGGTGGCCGTACTGGCGGCCCGCGCAGCTTGGCGTCTACCGGCAGCTCCGTTGGTGTGACGTGCCAGTACCAGCTTCAGACCGGGCCTCTCCGCGGCACTCTGTGTCACCGCCCGCACCCGACCGCCCGCTGTTTCCGCCGCCTCGACGATCTCTTTCGTCGTCGCTTTGGCCCGGCCCCGGACCTCCCCGACTGGCACAGCCCGCTTCGCCAGGGCGTGCCGATCTTTGATTTAGATATGGATCAGAGAGGTGCTGCTTTGCATGCCTTGTATGCTGACGCTTCTAGTGTTGCTGGATCTTATTACCCTGTGTACTCTAGTTTAGGCGTAGCACCTTTGTGTAGCTTAGCCTCCCCTGCTGCGTTACTCGTAGGACTGCCTAGTTTGCTTAGCCTAGTTTCTGCACCGGCTCCGTTCCCGGCCTCCGCTACTGCCTCGCTGTCCTTCACTCTCGACTCCGATGCTTCTGCCTGTTTCTTCCGCGACCGCTCCACGCTCACGCCGCTTGCTGCGCTTGCTGTTGTCGTTCTCGCTGACCCCTCCGCGGGTCCTGTCGTCGCTCGCAGCTCCACTTCCCTTCCCTGTCCAGCCGTTCCCTCGGGCTCTCTTACAAGCCTCCACGTTCCCTCGTTCTCCAGGAACCTGGTTGGTGTCGGCCGTCTTCAAGACCTCGGCGTCACCACTACGTTCCCTGGGCACAAGCGGTTCGGTGTCTGTACCGAGGCAGTCTCAGGTTCCCCCCTTGCGACATTCCCCCGGGACCCGGTGTCCGGTGTGTTTACCCTCGACACCGCTTCCCCCCCGGTTGGTGCATCCTCCCAGGTCACTGCAGCTTGCTCGTGTCGATCCCTCACACAGCTGTCCCTTCTGTGGCACCACCACTTAGGTCACCCTGCTCTCCCGCGCCTGCGTCACATGTCTCAGCACGGTCTTGTCTTTAGCCTCCCCGAGTCGCTCCTCGCACTTCCCCCCTCGACTGCGCCACCGTGCACGCCTTGCGTCAAGGGCCAGCTCCGCCCTGCCCCTCACTCCTCCTCGCTTCGACCTGCTACTGCTCCTCTTAAGACCCTGCACCTAGACGTTTGGGGCCCAGCCCCCATTCCCGGACCGTGCGGTGAGCGCTACTTTCTTGTGCTCGTCGACGACTACACGCGCTACACCACTGTGTTTCCCCTGGAGCGGAAGGCCGACGTGCCCGACGTTCTTCTCCCGTGGGTTGTGGCTGCACGTCTTCACCGCGGTCTCCCCGTGTTGTGTCTCCACTC